GGCGGGGGGTGGGTGGGATGAGTGGTGGGGGAAAGGGAGGCGGGGCGGGGGGGGCGGGGGGAGGGCCTTCAGGCTCTGAGGACCATTGTGTAATTCACCAGAGACCTATCAGCAGTAATTGGCAATCTGTGCAAAAGAGCTACAGCCCATCTCGGAGGTAACCAACTTCTCTGTAAAAAGAGAGGAAAAAAAGAAAATCTTCAGAATACCTGACATTCCTTATTGTGCTGGCTTTTGCCATTCCCAGATAAAGCAATTCATCCTCTGGATTTTCAGTTCTTGAAGCAAGTAGGCCCTCCTGTGCTGTATGAGACCCCAGTTTAAAAGCTATGCAGGCTAGGTTTATCCATTTAGCTGGTCAGGTTTAAAGTGTTTTGTAGCTGTGCTGAGAGGCAGCCCTTGTCTAATTCAGAAGGCTTTCCAGAGACTGATGATGCTCAGAGCTTGTTGGTGCTAATGCTTGAGTTTGTGATACACTGAGTGCCCTCCGCTGGAGAAAACAGATTGCACATTAAAGACGGGAACAAGTGAGCCTGTCAGTGGTGTGCAGCCTTCCCCTGCTCAGAAAGGGAAATTAAAGGCACAGAATCACTTTTTTTTCTTTCTAATATTATAAATTATAAAAGGCTTATGCCAAGGGTTCATTTTAATGATAGCGAATATTAAGCAAAATACTGCTTCCCTAAATGCTATGCAATTAATAGTTTTAAAAGCTGCTTTGACTTAAATACATATATACACATATGTATATACACACATATATGTATTTTGCTGCACATGTCACAGGAGATTTGTCATCTTTTTTTTCAATGAAAGAAATAATTTCAGTTTTATTTATTGTTGTTGGTTTGTTTTATTTACTTACATTTTTTAGCTAACCACATAGGAAAACAATCTTACTGGAGGGAAAAACCCAATTTGATCAATTTTAAAGATACATTTAAAATTTTTGTCTAATCTCTAAATTCTCCACCTTTGACAATAAAATGCATTCTGCAATTTTGTGCATTTTACTGAACAGCCTAGAACATTACTTTCTAAAAGTTTATATTTTTAGTCTCAAAGTGGTTATCATCTATATTACCAGATGTGAAGGTCACTAAAAGATGCTACAAGTTGGGTAAGAGGAGAATTTCAGCTTGACCACCTTGGTGCAGTCGCTTTCCTTAAACTCATCTATATTAACAATGAAACTTATTCCTTATGTGATTCCAGGAAAACAAAAGCACCTGAGTTCTATATCATGATGGTATTTCTCCAAAATGTGTGGAATATCCTCAGATTTAGAAGGGAAGAAATTATGAAATACATGAGCTGTGTAATTTAAAACCTGTGCACTTTCCTAAAAACTTGTACTAAACATTGAAAATTATAATATAATGAATCATTTCCATTTTGTTTCTCATTTTTACTAGTTTATTTCATAATCCTCTAGCAGATAATTTTTGGAGTAATCCAGAACAATGACCCAATGTCTTGTAGAGAGAGACTGCTAGGTAAGATTGCTAAACTAATTTAGCAGATTTGAGAAGTTTAAATGAATTTTACATGAGCATCTAGCATTGCCACGGTAACTGCAATGAAAATTTTTAGAAATATTTCTTGGTTTTAGATTATTTGCCAAAATATTAATAATTAAGGAGGGCTTATCATATGAATAACACATATGATTTGACTTGGATTTATGAGTAGGCAGTTGCAGGAAATTGTCTAAGTACGAAGATTTCTTGAGGAAAAGAAAGGGATAATATGTCCTCCAAATATATCCGTCTCTCATTAACTGATACCTGAATTTCTATTTTAGAAATGTGTGCCTTTGGCTTAAGGCTTAATACCTATTAAAATGCAAATGCACACCGAAAGAAGCAATATTATTGTGGTTGCTGAAAGGAAATAAATTGATATAAATGATATACACACAATTTGTTCATAGTAGTATAGTTTACAAAAACCATAAACCCCACCCAAATACTAAATGATGATTAAAGAAAAATGAATACATTCATAAAATAGAACACATACTCCCATTAAAATTAAAATAAAGATTTGTATTTGCTGATAGTAAATTATAACCACCATGTATAAAGAAAGAATGGTAGGGGCAGAAAACTCAGGAACTTGAGAATGACAAAAACGAGTCTATACTTGTATATATTGTTAATTGAATGGAGGCAAAATAAAATATTCAAAGCAGATTTTCCTGGAAGATAGACTTTGAATTTATTTAATTTCATCTTTTATGATTTTTTAACTAACTGTATTCTAATTTTTAAAATAATAAATGTTTTACTTGTGATCTCTATTTAACTTGTGTGTATAAATTTTTCTTTGAGCAAAATACAAAAACAGTTTTTGATAGTAGATTGGAAAAATTTAAATTGTTGCTTTGCTGTGGATTCCCTGAGGAAAGCTTTTTGTGTAGCTCAGGTTGTTTTTTTTTTTTTTCCTTCTTTGTGACCGGTAAGGGGATCGTAACCCTCGGCTTGGTGTCGTCCGCACTGCACTCAGCCAGTGAGCAAACCGGCCATACTTATATAGGACCCGAACCCGCTCTCCCAGCGTGCCCTCTCCCGAGTGAGCCACTGGGTCGGCCCTGCAGCTCAGGTTTTAATGGTTGACTTTATAGGTACTTCTGGTTCTCATGAGATCTGGTGCACCTGGGTTGTGTAGAAACTCTGGACTGGACTTGAGACTTTTCAGTGAAGTACACCCCCTGCAGTTCTGCATTCCTGACCAGTCTCCACTGAGTGGGCTTGTGCTGACTGGAGGGCAGATCAGCTGTCCATGCTGTGCCCCAGTGTTACCCCGGTGGGCCTGTCTGCCCCACTGCCTGTGCTCCAAATACTTCCCATGTGGCAGGCTGTGCTCGAGTCCCTTGCAATGACTCATCAGCCTCTGAGTGGCAATTTTTTCTGTTGTTGTGGCTCCTTGCTCCCATGTTACCTACATTTATATTGTAATCACTGGTTAAAATGCAAGTTCTATTTAAAGTATCAAGCAAAATTTACAAAGGGTATGGCCAAAAATCAGATACAGATCTCTTGAACTCACTATAGGGTATGAAGGGATCAAGATTGTTAGGAGTGGCAGATGATGTTGTGTGGGAGATTTGATTGGAAAAAGCTGTCCTGTTATTACTTTCACACACACACACAAACACACACACTAACCGTTCACCTGAGGAAAAGTTGGGGAGTATGTCAGCTCCTCAGTTTAACTATAGTGAAAAGGACTTCTACAGGCTTGTTGAGAACTTGGTAAGTATTTCCAAGAGAGAGTCTAACAATATAAAATGGTGTCTGATTCCTGTCAGGGAAATCCAGAGGAAAAGAAATGGTTTTTCCAGAGCAAAGGAGAGTCAATGTTGCATTGGAAATGGCCTTCACTTTCAGAGTTTGTCTGGATAGAAATATGTACATGTTTTTCCATGGAGGAGAGGAGGGTTATGTGTGAGAGAGAGAGTCAGCTTGGAGCCATTTTAAATCCCGATGAGACCCGCATCAGAAGGAGTCTGTGTGAGTGCATTGCCAAAACAAATAGACAAATAAACAAACAACAAGCAGAAACCAGTCTAGTGTGGTCAGGCATCAGATAAATGCAGAAAAAAGTGTCATCTTTGTCCACTGTTGTTAATAGGGCTATTAACGATCTACCAATGCATCTATGTAAAAGAGAAATGCCTTCCTACATGTCTTAAGCGCAGAGATTACAAATCCTTTTTACAATAGAACCAGTCAACCGAGAAGTTTCATGTGGAGGTCAGAAACAGCAGGTAGCAAGTGTGGGAGGAGGTAAGCATAGTGAGAGAGGCTGACCACACTTCCTCATTTTCCCTAAGTAACTGGTGGCCCTTCCGCTGCTGCTTCTACCTGGAGACCAGGGGCAAAATGCTCATGCTTAAGTACTAGGTATTGACTACTACAGTGAAACTAAGACTTTGATTTACTGACTTGGGACTTCATTGAATTAAGGAGATAATAGAATTTTTGTTATCTCAGAAAGTACTCAAAGACCTCACCTTGGTAACTGGAAATTGGCCATGGTGAGAGTTTTACAGCACGAAAATCGGCCAAGGCTAAAAATTAAGGTGTGATTTATTGTTTTGTTGTGTGTCTAGACTTGAGAAAGTGATGGAGAAACTGTTAATAACACAGATTAAACTTAACAGTGTGCTGTGCCTGTTGCTATTTAATTGTGAATAGCACAAAACTTGAGAAATATTCTTCCAGTATTTGAAAATTATCTTCTGAATGAGGAAAGAAGTCACTCATATCGTTGACAAACAAGTGATGTGTTAACATATGTCCACATCGTTTTACTTTTGTCTTACTCATTATTGTAAAAAAAATCAGACAATACTCATGTTTGAATTACTCTTGGAGAGCCAGTTGCTAAACATTTACCATCACATCACTGTACCCAGGATCTCCATATTTATTGCTCCGAAGGTGAACTAGTTTTAACAAATAAATGCTAGGTTATGTCTTGGTTTGAGGAATCCATCTCTTTCTTACCCCAAACACAAGTGAGTATTCACAGAAAAAATAAAAAAGGCTACTAAAATTCTCATTGCACGTGAGTAACATGGGGTGCCTTTCAAACTGTCACTTCCAGTCTTATTCTTTGTTCCTTACAAAGCAATCTTGCACTATCCAAACCACTGGAACATATTTGTATTTCTTATTTATTATAATAAGATTTTGGTAGCAACATGTGAGATTTTTCTGTTTTGTACACCAACATTTTGCCCCTAGTGTAATACTGCCAATTTGGAGATGCTCAGTAAAATGTTTAAAAATTGACGGAAGTAAGTAATCTGGCAACCATAAACCAGTCAATGAGTCCAGCAATCAATCAATTGATATTATCATAATCAATGTTGCCTTCAGTACCTTTAATACCTTCTTTCTTTTCTAAAATATTATTTGTTCTCCACTATTCAAAAATTAAAAGACTGTGTCAGTTAAGAAGTTTAAAGTTACACCTGAAAGAAATCTCAAACTAAATAAAAGTAAAATGAAACATTATTTTAGCTCATGCAAATGAAAATTCCATCATCAGACATAACTGATCCCATGATGAAATATATTACTGATATTCAGTTTCAATTGATCCATTTCTTAGGCCTAACATCCAACGTGTTAAATTCATTCTGATTCTGGTTTCAAGAAAGCTCCTGTAGCTCCAGTATCATGTACAAGTATATTAAGTTTCAAGAACCACTGAATGTTTCATTGCATATAGTGACCCTAGTGGGACTTTTTTTTTTCTATTTTATCGCTAAATAATTTTCTATGTCCAGAGAAATGCAACTCCCTCGGTGGTTTACTTATGGGTCATGTATTCTTCCCTTGAAGTAGAATGGCGAACAGCTTCTAAAAACACACACAGCCTGAAAGAGGGAGGAAAAAAAATGTGTGCTTCCAAAGCATAGTCATCATTAAAAATTGGCTGCCTCTCTTTGCCCCTGGTAAAGGG